CCACTGCTGTTTTCTTCATGTTCCCATCGGTAATCACCTTATTTCTATAATGTTAGAGAGATATACCAACTAGCTTCAACAAAATAAAACGTGTATGATATAAAAACAACCTTTTGTGAATGAGGGACTGGTGTTTTGTTAAGACGGTATTGACGGTAAGGATCAGTGTCTTTCTGTAGAATGAAGTGGGTTGGTCATCACACACAAAAATCCCCTGGTAAAATTCCTAGCTTGTTACGATGGGCCTTAATCAGTAGATCACCTTGTTGTTACAAGAAATCAGTAGTACAGGCCTGAAGGGTAATATCTCCACCATAGCCTCTTAGTTAGTATATCTCCACCATAGCCCCTTAGTTAGTGTATCTCCACCATAGCCTCTTAGTTAGTATATCCCGACCATAGCCTCTTAGTTAGTATATCCCGACCATAGCCTCTTAGTTAGTATATCTCTACAATAGCCTCTTAGTTAGTATATCTCCCCCATAGCCTCTTAGTTAGTATATCTACACCATAGCCTCTTAGTTAGTATATCCCGACCATAGCCTCTTAGTTAGTATATCTACACCATAGCCTCTTAGTTAGTATATCCCGACCATAGCCTCTTAGTTAGTATATCCCGACCATAGCCTCTTAGTTAGTATATCTCCACCATAGCCTCTTAGTTGGTATATCTCCACCATAGCCTCTTAGTTAGTATATCTCCACCCTAGCCTCTTAGTTAGTATATCTCCACCATAGCCTCTTAGTTAGTATCTACAGGTTCAGACTTCATCTACAAGTTTATTATCCTCAAGTTCAGACTTTTTTTCAAGTTCATTATCTACAGGTTCAGACTTTTTTTCAAGTTCATTATCTACAGGTTCAGACTTCTTTTCAAGTTCATTATTTACAGGTTCAGACTTTTTTTTAAGTGCATTATTTCAAGTTCAGACTTTTTTTCAAGTTCATTATCTACAGGTTCAGACTTAATTTCAAGTTCATTATCTACAGGTTCAGACTTTTTTTTCAAGTTCATTATCTACAGGTTCAGACTTAATTTCAAGTTCTTTATCTACAGGTTCAGACTTCTTTTCAAGTTCATTATTTACAGGTTCAGACTTTTTTTTTCAAGTTCATTATCTACAGGTTCAGACTTTTTTTCAAGTTTATTATCTACAGGTTCAGACTTAATTTCAAGTTCATTATCTACAGGTTCAGACTTTTTTTTCAAGTTCATTATCTACAGGTTCAGACTTTTTTTTCAAGTTCATTATCTACAGGTTCAGACTTTTTTCAAGTTCATTATCTACAAATTATGTAAGTCTTCTTGTTCATTAGTTGTGTACAAATTAAATTATTATCTACAAGTTTGGTATTAATCTACAAATTCAATTATTATCAACAAATTTAATAATTATCTGCAAGTTCAGTAATAATCTACAAATTCAATAATTATCAACAAATTTAATAATTATCTGCAAGTTCAAATATTATTATTTTTGAGTTTCCTTTTACTCATCAGATGATCTACATAAGACATTGAGTTTTGTTTATAATTATTTACCAGGAAATTATTGTGTTTCTATAAATTACAATTGATATTAGTGAATGTTAAGAAAATACCATTAAAATATCATGTTTCAAAGTCAATGGAATGGGGTAGTTTGAAAGGGAAGTATAGCCATGATTGATTGATTTATAACTGCACTGCTGATCGTTGAGCCAGAACATTTTAGTCAATGATGCAAGTCGTTGATTAAATTCATAAAAAATGTAAACGGTAAATTTAATTAAGATAATACAGAAAATCAATATTCTTTTTAATTATATGGTGACAGTAGCTTATAAACTTCATAGATTTCTTGCCACTCCCGTATAGATATCATTACAGTACTATTTTATGTGTAAATGATTGTAAAGTCAAACTAGGACATTATCTGATCTAGACACAGAAATGAGCTGTCTTCGTTTTGACTTATATGTTCTCAACAGTTATAAGGTAAATGAAATATGATAAAACAGTTCTGTACCAGATATATCAGAAAACGTGGTTCTACTTTGGTCATTCAGGCGGCCATGTTGGATGCAGATATTGAAACTTGGTTGTTATCGACGACGGAAAAAACATTAAACCCGTTGTACATAATGAGAGGCTATTACCTCGTCATGAAAATGCAAATCAATGAAATACTTTATTGGAAGAAAATGGTGCAAAGCATGGATCAATCAAAGTAGCCTAGCTACAGACTACTTCATTGGGGGGGGGGGGGGGGGGGGGGTCTTTAGACATAACACTTGATTTGTGTGCTGAACTACTACAGGAATTCTATGTTTGCTTAATAAAAGCATCACTCAGTGTCGTCCAGCTCAGAACCTGTTCATTCAGGGATCCTTGTACCCTATTGGCTGGCCAGTTTCCAGGGTTATTTGACTCACCTACGTTTGAGCAACTTTTAGTTTCAGTGAATATTTGAGCTACAAAGCTATCATTCTCATATCAGTTAATTGTAGTAAAACAGTAGTTATTTGTTTTGTAAATAAATATTTGAGGTAAAAGAATTACCTGAAGTTAAAAAACAACATTTTCCACTGCAGAAATGTCCATAAACATGATCTTTTATGATGTATGGTACAGAATTATTTGTTCAAGTAGGAGTATTTAAAAATATATGAAATAAATAAAAAACTAAACAAACATTTAAAAAAAACAACAACAACGCAACAATGAATTGGATCAAATTTGAGATTTATATACTTCAACAGTGTAATGCTTTCCAGGAATCGTGAATGCACAAATCAATAAGGGATAAATTCCTAAACAAGGGAAGTAATTCTACGCCATCATCTACATATATATGTACTCTGATATGATACTGACGGGTTGATTTTCAATTCATCTTCTTAAGATTAGGGATTATGGTACCACTGTATTGGACATTTTCCAGCCTAACTATAGCTATCATAAAGCATTTCTGAAAATTAAACCATACCTTGCTGGACTTTCACGAAAAATGATAAAGTTAAAATAAAAGACTACAATCAACAACAGTGTTGCTTGTGCAAAAATTCAGCTGAGCCAGATTTGGAATGAACCCTTAATTGACCTCAGATTATTATACTGTTGGTAAATTACCCACTAAGCAACTTGGTCAGTGGAGGTGCCTCCTCCCAACTGTACTACACCTATATCTATATGCTATACTCCTCAGAGACCAAAATGGCTTTCATGCAGAGGCAGCAATACACTCATATCCAAAACAAAATGAAGGGGAGGTAACTGTATATACAAAAGAAAAATGTGACGGGGATTGTTAACAAGAGCTTTGAGCATACGTTCCCAGATAGAACTAATAAACTAATTGATGACTTCCGATCTATATGGAGTTTGTTCCCTGGGATTTATGTCAGCAGTGGTATGATATATGGCTGGGCTGGGAAGCTTCCAGACACAGCCTTCTGCTACATTTATTTCCACAGTAATGTGAGGACCACTGGGTCAATCTGCACATAGAATTCCGGTTCTCTTTTTCGATAAATTTCGTATTTATCTTTATTCAGACAGTCAGCTATATTGTTTTCCATAGATTCAGCAAATTTGATGAAATTCAGCAAGAAACTTGAGGAGAAATGTTTCTTGTTTTTCTCATCCATTCTCATATTCTGTTAAAAGTTGTTTATACAGAGGTTTAAATCTGTCAGATATAAAACATAAATCATTTAAAAAAAAAGTTTTATCATAGTGTATTATGTTAAAGTAGGCACATATATACCATATACACTGCATATATAGTTTACTGTATAGAAGTATATATAGATAATATTTCTTTTATGAACAATTAGAAAAATCTCCTTGAAGAGATGAAAGTACTTTAGAAGAGCTGTAGAGAATTTTTTCATTTTCAATAAATGTCAAACTTTATAAGGAAATACAAGTAAAGGGGGTCTTAATGTGGGAGGAATCTGTGTTTCACGTTACCCTCAAAATAGATAAATATGGCTTTAGAGATTCATTGTACTAAAGTTGTTTGACACCAGCCTGACAGGTGTCTAATCAATGTCTGATATTCTATTTTCATTTCTGCTTGGATTAATACTCCTGAAAGATCTAAAATTTATATGTGGCTGGACTGTCCCACAGCTATAAATGGTTGACGATACGTTACTAGTCATTGTTGGACTGTCCCACAGCTGTAAATGGTTGACGATACGTTACTAGTCATTGTTGGACTGTTCCACTGAGGTCATAAGTCATGGGTCGTAGGTCCCATTCCCCTGAAGTCAGACAATATGAACTGTGCTAGATGATGAGATATTTTACAAGGAAAACTTCTTGGACTATCATATATCTGTATGAATATCATACAGTGCAGGCAAGCATGAACACACTTGAATAACTCGTGCTAGCTAGCTCTATTAAGAAATACCTGTAGAATTTAAATTCTTTGTGTTATTATAAGTGAGGACAAATTCTTTGTGTTAGAATTACTGAATACTGCAAAAGCAATGATCATTTACACATAGTGGTTTAGTACACACAATTTGTATGGTTAAATTTGAAAAAAATGTATAAAATTTAGATAACTGTTAAACACAAGAGAAGTTAAAAGTACTTCAGTGTATTTTTCACACCAAGTTTAAACTGAAGATTATAAATTAAAAAAATTACATTCCTGTTGTAAACTGAAATTAGGATTTTTGTGTCTTTATCATCCATTAAAGGGTCTCTTGTGAGAAATATGTTTGTACCCATATCCACATATACCTGGTCTTGTTTTACAAAACATAAATTAACATGTGTCCTTGTGCAATTTAAACAAACTTACTGATAGTTAATAAAACTTACGATTAAATGTTTTTTTAAAAAAAATCAAAATTGATGTTGAGTGGAAGAGAGAATGATAAAGTGTATATTTATTGGAGTCTGCCCATGGATGTGGACATATTTTGTAGTTAGACATTTTCCTCATTTTTACTGATGAAAATATTTGGTTCATTGAATTTTTCTTTTTTTATCTTTCCAGAAAAAAGAAACTGAAAAAGCCAAGAAGAACGCGCGGGAGGCGGCTCTTGAGCAGAAGTGTAAAGAATCGCTGGGTAAGTTTCAAACACACATGTCCATAACACAATTCCCTACATACTTAGTAGGACCCCCTTTATTAACACAATATTATTTCATATAGGTTAATGACACTTTACGTTACCAAAATACACAGTGAAAATTTAGGGAAAAAATACTGCTAATGTAATACTTCGAAATATATTAGAAATCCATGCGGAAATGTATCTCTGCGCATTACAAGCGCTGGTTGGCCGGGGCGAGGATGTTGTATACATACGATGCGGAGCGTTTGTGTGTAGCGGGGAGGTGGTAATGCCTGTTGCCTACGTGCCCGGATACCTCTCACGAGGAGATACATATCTACGCGCCTATTGATTTTTTCCAAACCACAAGCTTTGATGTCAGGCTCTGAGCCAAGTACAGAAAATAAAAATGGTTGGAATCGCATGGATATATCTTCCCTTTCAATTTCAAACACTGTTCAGCAAACCAAAGCGCTGAGATCCCCTATTTGGACCTCAACACTGGAAACCAAAATCCCTCTGATCCTCATTTTAAATTTAGCTAGAAGAGTCCAACATTTGAGACCCCCTTTTGCAATGTTTTAATGCCATTTGCTTAGATCTACAGAGACAAAAGAGGAGTTCAAAGAGAGGCTGGAGATATATATACGTCCCAATGTACCTTAATGAAGAGAACAGAAATATTGGAGTGCATTGGAAGTCCCCCCCGACTCCTCAAATCACTAAAGAGCTCATATAATAATCTTCCTCAAGTCACTGGAGACTTCATTTGATACAGAACAACATAGAATAGCAATTAAGAAATTATTCAAGGGATGTTAAATAAATCTTTTTGTAAGAAAGATAGTATAATTGCCACTTCTGTAGGTATAGGTAATTAACCCATTCACCCCTAAAGTCACATTTGAACCTTACCCAATCAAACACTAGACAAGTCCACTTTAAGTATGTAGGAGTAAATGAGTTAAGCAATCATGTTGACAGTCATTAAAAATTGACAGAAATAACTCTCAAGTCAGTAATATTTTGATAGTTTAGATATGAGCTGCCAGTTACAGAAAATTTGCAGTCATGGGAAAAAGTGTTCAAGTGTGCATGTACATTCACCCCTGAAATTTTGTAATGAACTATTCCAACCTTTGAATTAGAAGAGTTCAAATGTGTCTTCAGGGGTGAATGATGTAAATGGGACACTAAGGTAACTGACATTTCTGTTGCATTTAGATGTGTGTGTGTTGTGAGAAGTACAATGTTGAAATAATTTAATCCTTGGGACGACAAGTCACCCTCAAATGAAGTATTTCATTAGAGTTAGCAGTATACTGTACATGGATGTTCTGTGGTTTTCATTCAAGTTAGCAGTATACTGTACAAGGATGTCTGTAGTTTGTTGCTCTTGAATAAATGTTTGTGGTGTTTTGTACTGAGTTATGTCAAAGGTACTGATTTTCTAGTCAATACAAAATTTGAAATTGTTGATAAAATCACTTTCAATGACTGCTATTGAGGGATTCCAGTGATTGTGTCCTGTGATGACGCTGTGTTGGTCCAGACAGGACAAACATACATACAGTGGTCCCCATGGATACAGGTCCATTGTTTGTGTCCTGTGATGACGCTGTGTCGGTCCAGACAGGACAAACATATATGTGGTCCCCATTGGTTACCGGTCCAATGTTCGTATCCTGTTATGACGCTGTGTTGGTCCAGACAGGACAAACATACATGTGGGCCCCATGATACATGTCCATTGTTTGTGTCCTGTGATGACGCTGTGTGGGTCCATACAGGACAAACATACATGTGGTCCCCATGGATACATGTCCATTGTTTGTGTCCTGTGATGACGCTGTGTCAGTCCAGACAGGACAAACATACATGTGGTCCCCATGGATACAGGTCCATTGTTTGTGTCCTGTGATGACGCTGTGTCGGTCCAGACAGGACAAACATATATGTGGTCCCCATTGGTTACCGGTCCAATGTTTGTATCCTGTTATGACGCTGTGTTGGTCCAGACAGGACAAACATACATGTGGTCCCCATTGATACATGTCCATTGTTTGTGTCCTGTGATGACGCTGTGTTGGTCCAGACAGGACAAACATACATACAGTGGTCCCCATGGATACAGGTCCAATGTTGTACTCACCAACTTTCTATTGCTCTAGCCTGCTCGACACAGATACAAAGAGGATTTGATGGATGGACCGGAGTCCTCATTAGAATGCATAGGATTCAATGTATTAAGAAATTAGTCATTGCCAAGGGGCTGAATCAATTTTGTCCTGTTAAAAAAAATGAAAAACTGTGACTTGGTTAAATAGTATTGGTACTATATTTGCTGTTAATCAGCATTCCTCCCTTTTTGGTAAACAACCTTTTTCTATCATAAATCACATTTTATTATCCCAATAAATGCTGCCCTACCCCTTTATTTAAGACAATTTTTAAAGCGACCTGGGTTCTAACTCAATATGGTATATTTATTTGATTTATGCATGTAAGTTGATACAAATGTTTATATATCTGTAATATGAAACAAAGCCGTGGCGTCTTACTAATTAAATCATTGAAATATCAGGGTTGACTTTTATTTTATTTTTAATTATCATTCTTAAATGGTATGCGGAAATACAAAATTAATGATATTTGAGTCTAGCTAAATTTGATTATATATTCACAGTATCAACACTGCAGACTTCCTCATCAGTGTGTGGAAATACAACAATTAAAACTGGTTATGTTTGTCTGAGCTAAACAAGCCTACAAATTATGATATTGCTATATTTTTAAGATAGGAGATAATTAAGCACTGGTATCCATTAGCTATATAGATCACCAAAATTCATCTCAATCTAGTATTTGCTGAAGATATTGAGTACTTCTATTGCAGCTCATGAATCTATTAAATTCTACCATATATTGCAAACAAACAAACAAACACACAAACATGGGCAATCTAAGAACATTGATATACTATATGTGAGTGCCTGTGGAGCCGTTTTCTCCTCAGAGTTTATCCGTAGATATGTGGAATTAGTTTGGAGCCAGGTTTTCAGCATAAAAGTCCCCAGCTGTAGTCGCTTTCAATTAAATTCCTAGATGTCAATATTCGTCTATAAATGGATACTCTTGGGCAGTACTGTTGTATTTGGTCACTGGATTTAGAATTATGGAAACCAGGCGAGCTTACTGCCTATAATACCAGGGGCTCCCCTGACGCGGGGATAGAATTGTAAATTAGAGTTTGAGGCTCAACAGCACCCAAAGAGATCTGGATTTTACAAGTACTGGATAAGACATGTGGTAGTGGGCTAATACCATTGTACAATCCCAAAGTAATCTTATTGTTCCCCGTGGAACATACACACACTAATCTGTGGGGCACCTTTGTGTATGATTATTGTTGGTCTTTTTAAGAAGAAAAAGTAGTAAAGTTTTTACGTCATATAAGAAATCTCCAGGGACTGAACTTAATTCGACAGTTAGATTATAATAAGCAATTTCGAATATGAATAGGAACAAATTCTAATCTGACGTTCTAGCTAAATTAATCCCATAGCGAGCATGTTGTTTGGTTTCCGTCCTGTGTTAAAGAAGAGAGATAGGAAACAAATGGTGAACACCGGCGTCATAGAAATTTGGACTGTTTCGCCATGTTTACTTTGAAGTTAAAGTCCTCCTCAAGGACCCATTTAGAGGCCATCAATGGTAGGTAAAGCAAAAGTAATTTCCACGCTTGCAATTTTCTAGTTTTCTGAAAAGTATGCATTCGGCAAGATGGCTGCCTAAGGGAGAAATATATTGGTCGACGGTGGGGAACATTGATGATGCTGTGTCTGTCTGTGTGATGGAAGTTTATTACAGCACATGTATCTTCTACTGTTGCTTTGAAATAAAAATGGGAAATGTATTGCAGTGTTTATAGGACTACAGGAAGTATATATATAGGCTTTATAGAGTTTATAGGACCACAGGAAGTATATTTATAGGCTTTATAGAGTTAATAAGACTACAGGAAGTATATATATATAGGCTTTATAGAGTTTATAGGACTACAGGAAGTATATATGTAGGCTTTATAGAGTTCATAGGACTACAGGAAGTATATATATAGGCTTTATAGAGTTTATAGGACTATTATAGAGTGAATTCAAATGTCAATATGCTGCTGTGAATGCAATGAGGCTTAATGGCTCAGAGCTTTGTGATGTAATCACCATTATGACGTCACTTAACTGGGAAGTGTGTATGTTTATAATTGATACATGTATCTGGTGTGTCTATAATTTCATTAGGTAAGAAAAAATGTTTCTTATACAACCTAAAAATGTTTATAACAATTTTTATCAAATAGAAAATGTAATTTGGCCATATAAATTTTGAGACATATATAAGAGGTCAAATTATAGCAAGGGAGTACAAAGCTATAGTCACCTGTGGTAGTATTGATGGGTGAATAACATAGATGGACAGACTGCCAGAGTACAAAGCTATAGTCACCTGTGGTAGTAGTGATGGGTGACTAACATAGATAGACATACTGCCAGAGTACAAAGCTATAGTCACCAGTAGGAGTATTGATGGGTGACTTACATAGATAGACAGACTACCAGAGTACAAAGCTATTGTCACCTGTGGTAGTATTGATGGGTGACTTACACAGATGGACAGACTACCAGAGTACAAAGCTATAGTCACCTGTGGCAGTATTGATGGGTGATTAACATAGATAGACAGACTACCAGAGTACAAAGCTATAGTCACCTGTGGCAGTATTGATGGGTGATTAACATAGATGGACAGACTACCAGAGTTCAAAGCTATAGTCACCTGTGGTAGTAGTGATGGGTGACTAACATAGATAGACATACTGCCAGAGTACAAAGCTATAGTCACCTGTGGCAGTATTGATGGGTGATTAACATAGATAGACAGACTACCAGAGTACAAAGCTATTGTCACCTGTGGTAGTATTGATGGGTGAATAACATAGATGGACAGACTGCCAGAGTACAAAGCTATAGTCACCAGTAGGAGTATTGATGGGTGACTTACATAGATGGACAGACTACCAGAGTTCAAAGCTATAGTCACCTGTGGTAGTATTGAGGGGCGACTAACATAGATGGACAGACTACCAGAGTACAAAGCTATAGTCACCTGTGGCAGTATTGATGGGTGATTAACATAGATGGACAGACTACCAGAGTACAAAGCTATAGTCACCTGTGGTAGTATTGATGGGTGATTAACAAATACCAGACAAAATGGTGTCTTGATATCTGGCACTCACATGGAGGCACAGTACAGTAATTAATTCTTAAAAAGTATGAATCATTGTATTTTACAGAGGAAGACAGAAAGGCTAGTCGATCAGAGAAGAAGAAAAATGTCAAGTCACCTGCTAACAGTGATCAACCTTCAGGTGGCCATGACCTTGGTAAGGCCAAAGGTGCAGCAAGGTCGGGAGGGTTCCAGGCTACCCTCCCTCCGATGTCCAGAACTCCCTCTAACTTCAACCTAAAGGAAGGCAAGAATAAATGGCAGAAGCCTAGCCAGGAGGAGTTACAATGGTACCAGAGCCAGCTGTACGATATGTTTGGGGAGGACGCCGACACCTTCTTACACCCTAAAATGGAACAACAGGTCAAGGTCAATCCAGCTCTCGGCAAACAAGGAGGTGGGTAGTTGTCATGGTGACGTAAAGTCAGAGTTTTAAATTTGAAAATCACAACAAAACAACAAAACATTTTACTTGAATTCAGGAAGGGTACAAAAGTAAGGTCAAACACTCAGTAGGAAGACAATATTAGGTCCAACATGAACCATATACATATATATAATGTTAAAATTTCTTTAACCAATACCTAGGTCGATTTCTGCTGTAACTTCGACTCGGTTACAGCAACCTGTCTATTAAGAATGACCATGTAGGGTTCCATAGTGTCTCAACTCTGGTAACATCATAGTCCTACAATGTCCCTAGTCCCAACTCTGGTAACATCAGGTATGGCCTATAGAAACACTTTCCCATTTTGAATTCTTCATATTCATATAATAAATCAAAAGTTTTCTTTTCACACAGAAAAAATCTTCAGATTTTGAAGTTTCTGTGTCTGCCTCTTCAATAATCTGTTGTTAACTGGTTGAAAGGAGGAGAGAGAATGTGTCTGTCCTGCCCTGTGAGTCATAGTGTCCTAGTTTGTACAGCATAAACATTTATTTCATTTCAGACTGTTAGAAACCACATTTTATTTGCCTTCAATTTTTGTAAAGAAGAATAGATTCCTGGTTATTCAGACAATATTTTTCAAAGCACATCAAACGGCCATTGTTTTCATAAAAACGATTTTATTGAAATAGATAAATTCAAACTCATTGAAATAATATACACAGGTTATTTTAAGAATTTATGATGCATGGTAGATGAAGAATAAGGTTAAGTGAGATATCAGATAAAACAGCTGTCGTCTCATCACCAAATTATCATCTATTTCATATACCTGGTCACACCTGTAAGCCAATTAAATTGATACTCGGAAGATTCAATGCAGTGACCAGATAGAATTTAATTATGTCACTGCAGGTAACTGTGCTTTAATGTTCATCAATGGAGACATTAAAACAGTGTCTGTAATAAATACACAGTTATGGTAATTAATATCTACAGGTATGGTAATTAATATTCATAGGTATCGTAATTGATACAGGTATTCTGATGAAAACACCAGCTGGTGATGTCCTAGTTTTCATTTATTTTACAAAGGATCATTGAAGATGTACAGACATGATCGTTGTTCGCTAGGGTAGGTCAGACATGGTGCTCTCCACTGCACAGCTCACTAGGGTAGGTCAGACATGGTGCTCTCAACTGCACAGCTCACTAGGGTAGGTCAGACATGGTGCTTTCAACCGCACAACTCACCAGGGTAGGTCAGACATGGTGCTTTCAACCGCACAGCTCACCAGGGTAGGTCAGACATGGTGCTCTCTACTGCACAGCTCACCAGGGTAGGTCAGACATGGTGCTTTCAACTGCACAGCTCACCAGGGTAGGTCAGACATGGTGCTTTCAACCGCACAGCTCACCAGGGTAGGTCAGACATGGTGCTCTCAACCACACAACTCACTAAGGCTGTCATACATGGTGCTCTCAACCACACAACTCACTAAGGCTGTCAGACATGGTACTCTCAACCGCACAGCTCACTAAGACTGTCATACATGGTGCTCTCAACAGCACTGCTCACTAAAGCTGATCATACATTTTGCTCTCAGTTCACCAGTTTATACATGGTACTTGAGTTAGTGTGGACTTTCTTTATTTTTCAATTAATAAAGTTTACCTGCTCAAGATACCACCTCTGTTAAAAGACCACCTGTATTAAGAAACCAGTTTTAAACCCTCCTTTGTCTTATTGACTGAATTTGTATAAAGATACCACTGTATGGACTTTCTGAGTGTGGTTTCCATGACAACGAGGTTTGATTGTATTTCTCATACATTTACAATAATTTACAGTAGAAATACAGTGTACAATGTATCAAACAGTGGCCTCTGTGTAAGACTATTAAACAATTAGGTCGAGGAGGTTCCATCTGTAGTTGGGCTGAACACGATTGGAGGTTTTTCTGCCTTTTTTTACCGGATCAATAGATATTGATCGGCACCAGTCGGCGGGTTCTGTCCTAATTAGTTTGATACACATTACCAACCTCCACCATGCCAGGGATATCCTTCTTCTCCTTCCATTCATTTCATCATTACAACTAATTTCTTCATTAATTTCTTTCTTTTGTTATATAACAAAACAAATTAATTAATGAAGATATGAATTTATGAGGATATATATATATGTATATTCTATCTTGTAATTATTCTCATTATTTTTTTGTACAGACAGAAAAATATTTGTAGCTTTTTTTATGGTGTCATTGTAAATAAAGGTGTAATTTGGGGTTTGGGAGTATTGATAAACGACTACTTGATTGCAATCTAATTCCATGCGAGGTGAATGGATCATCGTTACTTAGGAAGCTTTTAGCACTAATAGGATGACAGGGGAAATGGTACTCATCAGTACTGTGTAGCAGGCAAACAAGTCAATACCTTATTTAGCATTCAGTTTATTATTCAAATGAGTTGGTACCATATTTGATGTTCACTGTGGCCTAGGTGATGCTGTGTATCCTGGGGTACTGCTGCTTAGCCTATAGGGTTTTTAAATTGTACATTATGCAAATGTTAAAACAAAACAGTGTCACAATAAAGGGAAAATAATTACAGGTAAACTAGGTCGCTCAATAGGTTACCTAAGCTGATTGGAAATTATGGCAGTCTTACTACCCTGAAAACCATAATGGAACGTTCTGGATCACAAAGATGTCCATTCCATCACAGCTGTATAGGGTTGATAGGGTAGTCTGTTGACATGCTGCGACTTGGTTGTGTGTTGCCACTTTGTATAAACTTGGTTGTTGTTGAGACATTCCTATGGTTACAAGTCTGACACTCCACTGACCATATATCATTGTTGTCAGATAACCTGACCTGACAGGGTCTACACATGCCTGATCGAGGGCAATCTTTTCACCATCGTAGACCAACTTTAATCGGCTTCAGCTGATGAAAATTTCATCTCTTTACGGAATGCCTACAATGTAATTCTCCCAGCATGCAATGCTTGTTTAGTGGCGCGTGCCAATGTGGCTTATTTGCTGCTTGAGCAAGGATCGCTACTGACGTTGAATGACTCCCAGGGGCCTATTGAAGAGCTCTCTAGGAGATGAACTGCGATCTATTCACACGATTGCACCTTAGCATGTTACCTGTCCCTAATCCAGCCTGCCTGCCCCGTTCAATAGAAATAATCACTTAAGATCGGGTTTTGATAACAATCAATGATACCAGAAAATACTACTGCACATTTCCTATGCTGGTTTATGCTTTATCAACGTCCTTCGTAAATGGATGATGTATGGGGCAACTCTGACAAGAACAACGGGTGTTTTCAAATTAAATTCCATGAGGTGGGAGAGGATCAATACTGCAGTGGTGTCGGCAATGACGTTATTGATTGGGAGGTATTGTGGACCAATATTGACCAGTCCAAACCTGTGTAGTATTTGTCCATCTGTTCACTGGGTTGGACCAACGCTGGGTTTCATTGAACAACGATATATCATGTCTTAACTAACAATGGTCGGACATATTGACTTATAGATAACTTCACTAGCAGGTAGATTGGTACTTCAATTATTGAAAACAACTCAACGAGGCAGAAAGAAACCCTTTGACAAAATGAATCAATAAGATAGTTTGTTTAAGGTGGTTCAAATTATCACAAACTATTTTGTTCACTGCTGATCAATAGACTGTTATTATACTTCAGTACAACATTTATAATACTTCAACACAGCAATTATGATGCTTTAGTGCAACATTTATAATACTTCAACACAGCAATTATGATGCTTCAACAAAACAATTATAATACTTCAACACAGCAATTATAATACTTCAGTACAACAGATATAATGCTTCAACACAGCAATTATAATACTTCAGTACAACATTTCTAATACTTCAACACAGCAATTATAATGCTTCAACAAAACATTTATGATACTTCAACACAGCAATTATAATGCTTCAACAAAACAATTATAATACTTCAACACAGCAATTATGATGCTTCAACAAAACATTTATGATACCTCAACACAGCAATTATAATGCTTCAACAAAACAATTATAATACTTCAACACAGCAATTATGATGCTTCAACAAAACAATTATAATACTTCAACACAGCAATTATAATACTTCAGTACAACAGATATAATACTTCAACACAGCAATTATAATACTTCAGTACAACATTTCTAATACTTCAACACAGCAATTATAATGCTTCAACAAAACAATTATAATACTTCAACACATCAATTATAATACTTCAACTTCAACACAACAATTATAATACTTCAGTACAGCAAATATAATACTTCAACACAACAATTATAATGCTTCAATACAATTTTAAAACTTCAATACGACAATTACTTTGTATACTACATCATATATATATTATAATTACAAGTATACAACTTATGTATATGATTTTATGCCGTTAAGTAGTAAACTGTATTATTCAGTTATCCTCATTAACATAACATACTTATATGTACATCAGATATCGTAGATATTACATAACATAATTATATATACATCAGATATTGTAGATGTTACATACTTATATGTACATCAGATATCGTAGATATTACATAAAAGTCCCTCAATCACATAATGATAAAATGTAACAGTCATTTATCTTCCACTTTTCATTCATTTGTAGGCAAATGAAATCCTTGTTTCGGTGAACGTACCTGTTATTGTTATTTACGAGTTACCTGGCTGCACTCTGAATTTATTGAAGTAATATTTTGGGAGTTCTGGGGTCACACTGTGACAGTTATTTAGGCAATATTTTGTGAGTTACAGGAGTCATATTATTGGGGGTAGCCTAACATTTGAATGGGACTAAAGTCAAAGATAACACAGATTTTATTTATTTGTAAGTTACTGGTTCAAACACTTCAGTACTATTTTTTATATAATGTAAATATAGATGTAAATAAACTGGTTGAATATCAGCAGGATGAAATTCAACCTGAATTAATTACTGCTAAAATAATTGTAATTCTGTTATATTTAATATCTCCCATGTAAAAAAACATAAATTTTGAATCAATTTCACTCCAAAAGTTAGGCTTGGACAGTAACGTATGGTTGTTTTGTTTTAATAAGTAAATCAAACATATCGTAAGCATTATGTGAATTTTACTTGATATCTAGGATCGACCCAGAAAATGGACCAGATTCTCGAGGATTTGTCTTTTGAAGGCTTAGGTAACAACTGTCGCCCGTGATGGGAACATCTTAATGTCAGATGACCTCAAAGCCAGCATGACTTTTGGCTCCACATGTTGAATAACCCTGACCTTTTGTCAATGTTCTTGACCTACTAATACCGCCAAGTGTTGTGTGACCTTACCCACCTATATGTATATAATCCTATATAATCAGAAACGTGTGATTTGATATATTGATATACACAGCTACTGTATCTATCACTATACTTTTGTATCTACTGTTTGTCTATACAGATTCTTCTTCATTTGAATACTGTAAAGGGAGATAACCAATTTTTTTCTATCTACTCATTTTTGATGTTATAATTTTCAAAATACTTTTTGAAAATTTATTTTCACCTGATTGAATTTATGCATTAAGGTGATGTTTTTTTTACATTCAGTTCGGAATTTTCAAAATTTTCACAATATAATAATGATTTATATTTAAAAAGACTGTTTCTTTGGTTATCTTTCAAGATGTGAGTAATTCATTACATATACCATTACTCACTGCAATGTACAATGTACACATGTGGTCATGTGGTCATGTAGGGGAGACAACTGTTGTCACTTTTGTACTTCTCAAATAAGTACTGTGTGCATGTGCGTTTGCACTTTTCATGTACATTTTATATATACTTACTACTGTGTGTGCATATGTGCTTTCCATGTGTACTACCGTGTGTGTGTGTGGGTAATATGAAGATGCACCAACTCTGAGTCTAGTAGATATATATAGACAGAAAAACTTCTTTTTTTCCCTTAGCTGTGAAATGAAGTCCATGAATTGGGGTGGATTGGTTAACTAAAATATAATTTGCTTGAAGTTGCAAATTGGAACTTTCAAATCTGTCCGGTTAGGATTTTGTCCAAAAAGAAAATCAACATCGTTAGATATTGACTTTAATAAGTACTTAAAGGGACAGATATTCTTTAAGAATAAACATTCACTGTATTTGTGTGTAGAGTCGACCTGGCAGGAAAGGATTATTGAAATCTTATACTGTAAAAAGATCAAGGAAGGACACATTCATTAATAAAAACCAAGGTTGCAGGTATCGGTGAGCTCGCCACCACACAGAAACATGTAACTTTGAGATCTTATACTACAGATAAGTTTAAAACTGGAAAGTTGATAAGATGAGATCAGAGGAATTGGTAACTTCTAGAATTTGTTTTTAAACCCTGTAATTGTTCAAAGTTTGGTTTTGGATATTGTTATCTGTGCAATTATACCTGGTTTTTAAAATCGGTCAATTTAAAAAAAGAGTTTTTTTTAGAAAATATTTTTATTCAGAAACTGGAAAACATGAAATGGTAGTTATTTTAAAAACATACATTTAAATGATGTATTTTTAGTTTGATGGTAAACAAGTCATTTTATGTTTAGATCCAAATTTCTATGTCATCTCTGCTTATGCTATAACACAATATATTTATCTACTTTGCTTTAAAGTGTTAAGCTATTAAACTAAGCATTTCAGAAACTGAGAAGTCAGCTTTGCCAGTCTGGCAGTAAATATATATTCAATTAATTGTATTGCTGTGCTCCCATACAATATTATATATATTTGCTTTCTGCAAGAAATTTTGCTGTTTTTAACTGGAGCTTGGATCTTTTCCTTTTGTATTGAACAAAATTAACAGAAATAGTTTACTTTCCAGGGAGAATTGGAGCTGCTAAATTGTGGGAAACACTACGTAAAGAGTCTATCATGCGTTTACTACGAGAAGATGCCAACATTCCCAAAGAGCTGAAGGTAAATATAAGTTATCTCCCTTTATTCTGTATGTTATCTTCATTTTTAATCCTTCCTTCGTCAATATTGACGAATATGGAATTTTTATAATAGTGATGTTCAATAAAAAAAAAACTTGTTATACTGCCACCAGTTGTAAAGGGGAAAATTGGCATTATAAAGGAATTAGCAATAAATGGGGGGAATTGTATAAAGAAATACTTCAGATAAAAACACAGAAACTTTAAATATATTGGCAATAAGTGAGGTGCCAATTGAATGAATGGCATTATATCAAGGTATGACTGTATCTGATTGGAGGTTATTATCGTTAGTCTTAAGTGTAGGTAGTGATTAGCATTAAAACAGACATTATTTTAAAACAGAAAACAGTTGACAAATCAATCATTTGAACATAAAAAAATAGAAATTGAATCTGATCAAGATGTTTCAATCGTAAGAACATTGTCTTTGCTGATCAGAGAGTGTGATACATGATAGCTTCTTTACTGAGGCTGCTTCAGTACTTGTCACAAGAACTATGGTCAACGAAGCTTCAGAAACTGACCTTAGTGACCTCTTGTATTGGTAGTTCGGATGTGAGGCTTCCTAGTCGATACATAATGAAACTCTGTTCAGTACATGAATATTTTTGCATGCCTTAAATATACAATAGTGGAATTTAAATTCAGAAATACCTGTGTGAGGAAAATAATCCTTTGCATTTCTCTGTGTCAGTATTATCATGGTCTGGACTATGGTCCAGAGGTCCTGTAGAGTTAAGCTCATTTCTCTGTGTCAGTATTATCAGGGTCTGGACTATGGTCCAGTGGTCCTCTAGGTTTAAGCTTCAGATTATGATATCTGCTGATTTTGTTGTTAAAGGAAACTTACAGTGCCTTTGTTCGCCAGAGTCTAGGCAGTCAGCGAAGGATCGTCCGCAGGAACTTCTACGCTGAAGATGATGTGAGTTGTTTTCTCAAAACAAACCCATTTATTTCATGTTTAGTGACACAGCCTCAATTGCAGATCATCACATTATCAGTATAAATATCATAAAGTTTCAATTTTCAGCTCATAGACTACTTTTGAAGATTGCTGAGCACTTTGAAATATTTTCTTTTTAATTGATAAACGTAAATTAAAAAACAAGAAGCAATTTTTCTTGTAAAGTTTTTTTCATATGGATCTAATAGAATTGTTTTGTTTTGATTCTAGCGCTTTCCATACATGTTTAGGCTCAATCATTTTGTAAACAAATGTGTCGGTGGGTGTGCTCTGGACTTTTCTATCAAATCTGCAAAAACTTTGTTTTCGAAATAAATTACAAAACATTTTAATTTCCTAGCGAAGGAAAAGGAGGATGAAAGTAAGTATTCTGGTTGCCATGGTTTCAAGATGTTGACACTAATTGCATTTTAGTAGACAGTAGATTGATTTGAATAACAAAATGAAAAAAATCATGTTTGATAGATTAGAATTAACGGTCATTTATAAGCTTCATAACAAATAGTCAACACTATAAAAAAATCCATTTATAAAAAGTCTGCATGAATGCATGTGTAAAAATTGAATAATAAATAATACTACAATTAGAAAAACCACATCAACAAATAAGTCGGTGATTTATGTACATTATAGTCAGTGAGATGAAGCAGTCGGCAGCTTGCCTGGGAGACATAACTTACCTAGTTTAATGCCAAACATTTTACAACTTTTCTTTCTCTATAGACTAGAACATCATTTGTTTTGCCATAAAACATCCACATATGATGTCATTGTCTCTTTAAGACCAGAGAGTTCCCTTTCATTGTTGTCATAGTGATGTTGAAAATGTCTGTCCTGTGAAAACAGATACTTAGTAGTTGTTTGTTTCTGATGCTGTTGTTGACTTTTGGAAGATTGATTATATTTTCTGTCATTTTTTCCCCAAAAATCTTTTTTAGGAATTTTATTGTTTTGTTTCTTTTAACCTTTCAAAATGTGACCTTAAAAGGCATTTTATATGCTTGTAATATAAAGAAAATTTGACCTTTATTTATTTTACAATACATGTTATTATGAAACAAGTTATTTCAAATGATATTTATCACTGACTTTCTGACCACCCTTATATGTGCTTCAAAAGATAGCTGTATCTTTTTTTTTTTTTTTTGAATTTCAACAGTTTTTACCTGATAAGATTATATGATTACATTGTTCTTATGTATGAAAGTATATATATAAAGGTGTATGTATAGCATCAACACTTTACTGACACCTTTTGTATAACAGAAATTGAAACATTGCTAAAAAAAAAAAATGGCTCCTGTGGTTTCCTGAGGACTGTCCCAGCCTCCTGTGGTTTCCTGAGGACTGTCCCAGCCTCCTGTGGTTTCCAGGACTGTCGCAGCTTCAGGCAGTTTCTTGGACTGTCCTCACCTCTGGTTATGTTTATTGACTGGATATGCCTTGTTTGAATGCTTATGGACTAGATATACCTTGTTCCTGTACGTTTATTGACTAGATATACCTTGTTCTTGTAGGTTTATTGACTACATATACCTTGTTCCTGTAGGTTTATTGACTAGATATACCTCGTTCCTGTAGGTTTATTGACTAGATATACCTTATTCCTGTAGGTTCCTGAGTTGGGGAGACTCCAGGATGATTCCATGCTAACTGGTGTCCGGCACAATAAACACAAGATGGACCTGATGTACCGGGCATCCGTCAACAACATGGACCGTACCCGCATCCTCAACCACAATAACCCCCTCCCTGACCTCGCGGAAGGGGAAGACAACTGTGTTGGTCGCTATCTCCCGTCTTGGATGGATGATACTGTAAGTGGTCAACCAGAAGTTACGTTTGATTATTGGGACTTCCAAAATTTAGAAATTCATGGTTCTGGTTTAGAATTGGAGATTTTAAAGTCCTAAATTTTTATAGTTTTATTTAATGGAGATTCTAAAGAAGTGAAATAAGTTGTAATATTATTGAAAATTCTAAAGAATTTAAATTTACTCTTACATTTAATCATTTGGTATTTAAAAGTATAGAAATTCATGATTACATTTTATCATTGGGAATTTAAACAAACTGAGATATAAATTGCAATTTATCATTGCTGATTCCAAATACTGAAATTTATTGTTGCAATTATCATTGGATATTCTAAAGTATGGAAATTTTTATTAATGTAACTTCAGTGGATTTCCTGAATAAATGTGTAAATCGATTTCTTCAGTTTGATACATAAGAAAGGAAATCATTATGAATGACTATAGTGAGAATTGTTATAGATAAGTAGGATTGTAATAAGTAAGTCACCTTTAGGAGAGAGGTACCTATGTGATAAGCTGTGTTTCAGTGTGGCATATTTTTCTGTATTCTCTGTAGGATATTCAAACAACATAATGTAGGATAACGATCCTCTGTCGACTTCTGTACGATAATTAATGGACAATATGAAGAGACTATGACCCTTCTGTCGACTTTACGATAATGTAGGATTACAATCCTCTGTCGACTTCTGTACGATAATTAAAGGACAATATGAAGGGACTATGACCCTTCTGTCGACTTTACGATAATGTAGGATTACGATCCTCTGTCGACTTCTGTACGATAATTAAAGGACAATATGAAGGAACTACAACCCTTCTGTCAACTCTGTTATATTTTTGCTCCACTTTCTATTCAACTTTTCTCATTGTTCTCAGGATTCTGAGTCTATCCCAGAATACACCAAGTGGCTACAGACCACCCGTGGAACTGCAACCCCGCGAATAGACAGTGCTAAGAAGAAGGACCCCTGGTCACGAGAGGAACTTGATGATGAACTGATTCTTTTGATGTCACGAAAAAACAAACCAAGCCCCAAGCCAAAGTTTGTCTTTATGACAGAGAAAGATTCCAGGGTCAGAGGTCAATTTGCTGACAAGTTCAAGGAAGAGCGAGAATATAAGGATATTCCACGACCATATGCTGGAGGACATCCAGAAATGAAGTCTAAGTCGGTCATGGGGGTGTTGGAGAATTCCTTCACATCAAGTAAAAGAGCAGGTGAGAATAAATACAATAAAGGCTACTTAGAGGTTATCAGCGTTTGTAGCATTTGAAGGCTAGAATTTTCCTAATTATTAATTGATACAGTGAAAGCTATTTTCTTTTACAACAAGAAGATGGAAAATTAGGTCAGTGTGTCATTGAACCTGTCTTTACCGATGTCAGGTGGGACTGAATTGGGTCGGTATGACAGTATATTACAATAGTCAGTCACAGACAAAAATCAGTTAGGGGAGGGGCATACAATCACAGGTATTAGGTGTCGGTCAAGTCAGATGTTAGTCAGGTACCAGTCAAATTAGGGGTTGGTCAAGTCAGATGTTAGTCAGGTACCAGTCAAATTAGGTGTTTGTCAAGTCAGATGTTAGTCAGGTACCAGTCAAATTAGGGGTTGGTCAAGTCAGATGTTAGTCAGGTACCAGTCAAATTAGGTGTTGGTCAAGTTGAGTGTCAGGTAGGTACCAGTCAAATTGAGTGTTGGTCAAATTGAGTGTCAGTCAGGTACCAGTCAAATTAGGTGTTGGTCAAGTCAGATGTTAGTCAGGTACCAGTCAAATTAGGTGTTTGTCAAGTCAGATGTTAGTCAGGTACCAGTCAAATTAGGTGTCGGTCAAGTCAGATGTTAGTCAGGTACCAGTCAAGTCAGGTGTCGGTCAAGTAAGATGTTAGTCAGGTACCAGTCAAATTAGGTGTCAGTCAAGTCAGATGTTAGTCAGGTACCAGTCAAATTAGGTGTTGGTCAAGTTGAGTGTCAGGGAGGTACCAGTCAAATTGAGTGTTGGTCAAATTGAGTGTCAGTCAGGTACCAGTCAAATTAGGTGTTGGTCAAGTTGAGTGTCAGGGAGGTACCAGTCAAATTAGGGGTTGGGCAAGTCAGATGTTAGTCAGGTACCAGTCAAATTAGGAGTTGGTCAAGTCAGATGTTAGTCAGGTACCAGTCAAATTAGGTGTTGGTCAAGTTGAGTGTCAGGTAGGTACCAGTCAAATTAGGTGTCGGTCAACTCAGATGTTAGTCAGGTACCAGTCAAATTAGGTGTCGGTCAAGTCAGGTGTTAGTCAGGTACCAGTCAAATTAGGTGTTGGTCAAGTCAGATGTTAGTCAGGTACCAGTCAAATTAGGTGTCGGTCAAGTTGAGTGTCAGTCTGGTCAGGTTTCCCTTGTAAGATACCATAATGTAGGGATCTTTGGTAACAAATACATTTCTGTATAGTAGCCAAAAAAAACCACCAATATGGACAACACAGGTTTCACTGCATCAGTTAATCATTGGGGGTTTCACTGTATCAGTTAATCATTGGGGGTTTCACCGTATCAGTTAATCATTAGGGGGTTTCACTGTATTAGTTAATCATTGGGGGTTTCACCATATCAGTTAATCATTGGGGGTTTCACCGTATCAGTTAATCATTGGGGGTTTCACTGTATCAGTTAATCATTGGGGGTTTCACTGTATCAGTTAATCATTGGTGGTTTTACCGTATCAGTTAATCATTGGGGGTTTCACTGTATCAGTTAATCATTGGGGGTTTCACTGTATCAGTTAATCATTAGGGGGGTTTCACTGTATCAGTTAATCATTAGGGGTTTCACTGTATCAGTTAATCATTGGGGGTTTCACTGTATCAGTTAATCATTAGGGGGTTTCACTGTATAAGTTTCACCCTACTTCTGATTTGTCTGACACTGGTTTGTATTCCAGCAAACGATAACAGGAAATTTTATGGAATTTTATTTTCATAAAGTATTTCCAATAATATAAGTTACATTGAATAACACGGTACAATAGTAGCTTTATCAAAGGCTTCAGTGAGATATTTATAGCTTATTCTAATAGGTACTTAATATATACTTATAATGACCTTTACTTATAATCATCATGAATTTATTTCAGAATCTGCACCTTTACCTCAGAAGTTTATAAATAATTACGAGTCCTTTACCACCCCCTGGGAGCCTCTCAGCATGAACGCCCTAATGGAGTACAAAGCCCGACTGGACACCGAGGGAGAGGGGGAATTCAACATGGGACGTACCAAGGTGTGGAAGACCGAAGTCAAAGTCTCGTGAACGCTTCCTGTCAAGGTGTGGAAGACCGAAGTCAAAGTCTCGTGAACGCTTCCTGTCTGATTCTTGAAGTTACTTGTAACTGCCAAAACTTGATTCAGATGATGACTTTGATATGTGAATGTCTGCATTCCAAAGTAATTTTAAAAAGTTGTATCATACAAATAAATTGAAGTGTAGTATAATTGAGGAGCCATTTTGGAGCTTGGTTCTGTGTTATTACTGTAGGAGCAAACTTCTAACTCTTTACCCTGTCTTTTACCAGCATATATATATAGGAATAAAAAACATCATTAACAACTACAAGATTATAGTGCACAACAATATGACGGTTAACTAAACGCACACATCATAAAAGAAGCGCGAATTTTAAAAACCAGAAAAATGTTCAATTAAAAACAATTATGATTAATTTATGATATCTTAGAAAATGAACATTGTTAAAATGTTGGATTCAATACCCACAGCCTAGCCAAATTTCTTAATTCTTGGTTAAATCCAACCAAATATATACAAAATCCATCTTTAATACTGTGTGTGGACCAAGGGGCATAACTCTTAGTCGTACATATACAGGGAGTCGCATGTTAAGATTGTTTTTAAATATTTTTAGAACGCGATTGTGATGGAATGTGTATAACAAACCATCCTTAATAGAAAAAGAATGATATCTATGAGTCTTGACGAATATCCTAAAATTATCTCATTCAGTTGTTTAAGAAACTTTCGAAGAAGCTGAAGCATTGTCTATGTGTAATCAAAAATGTATTTTGAAATTTCATATTTTGATATCAATTTTGCACTGTGTTGTGAGTAAATAAAACTATATGAAAAATAGCTTTCTAATATGTCAAATACAGTGCTATACCTGTAGATTCAGATTTCAGACTTCGAGGTATTTTTTACTGATGGTTACAGTGTGTGATTTTGAAAGTGCTTTATTTTTCTAAAAGCTGTTTTTATCTTATACTGAATAATTCATATATGACATCAGTGACATACTGAAACCACAAGACATTTTTCTAACGATATTTACGTATTTGGGTTTTAGTTTTATTAAAATATCACATAGAAATATTTATTACTTTTTATACTTTTTAAAAAATGTATTGTGTTTATTTTCCCAACACTCCGTTTGATCATATGCTTTTACTATTTAGAGAGAACATAGTATCTAGATTTGCACGTTATCACAAGAAATTTATATCATAAGAGAAATTCTCGTGTCAAATTGTTACTGATGTGTTTTGTGATATTGATGTCGGTTTATTGTATATAACTTGTTTACTATTATTGTGATTATCATATTTACATATTTGTAATATAGATATATTTATATTTGAACCTGATTTTGATTCTATAGCAGTTCTGTGATAATAATGAAGATCTGTTGTTGATATTGTTTTTCATCTCAAAGGGGTTTTATTCAATTAAAATAAACACATATGCTAACATTTTGTTAAATTCCAAAATCAACTGAGCAAAGACTAAAAAAAAAAAAATGAATTTACAGACCTGGGCTTGTATTCATGAAACTGTTCTTTTGCTCAAACACGAGTTCTGTGCTCAAACTAACTTTACTGTTGCTCGTTTAAATCATGAGACATGGTCGAAATTTCACGAGAAAAAGCTGAAACAGTGTTCGACTTGGAGTATATCCAGAATTCTTCCATATCATTGACAAAATGTGATTTTTAACTATTTAATCAAGGAAACCAGAAATTGGGATTGAGCTCTGAGATTGAGCTTTGAGATTAGCTCTGAGATTGAGCACGAGAACGATTTCAAGAATATGGTCCTGATTTTTACACTGTTTACAGACCTATTTGATGTGCTGGTCATTTTTACATATTTCAGCATCACTTTTTGAGGTGTGAAGAATGATTATCCTTGATAACTATAATGTTGAATGTCTTTTGCCTGTCTCAGTGCTTTTAATTTAGCTGTTTTGATGTCTTACAAGTCATCTTAATATTACATATTTTTCAAGATGTATATAAAAATTGAGTGAACTGTATATTATTTTTACATGAATTGAGAAGAGTTGGTATCCTTGATCAGTTTTGATAATTATATGATATCCTGACTTGTTTGGTGACCCATTTGCTTTTAAAATATCCCATAAATATTTTGTATTCATTTATGTAAATATCCTGTGAAATGAAGGGACAATAATGTTGTTTTGTTTTGTATATGTAACAAGGTTAAAAAACTACAGCAACTATGAATTAAAATATTTGTTTTGACATTATATGTTTTTAATCAAATGATTTTAATTTCAAAAGGAGAAATATAGTAGCACAGGGGGTTACCCAAGTTTAATGACATTAAGAAAGTCTTCACGATTCAACCATATATAGACTCAATAGTCTTGTTTTACCCCAGCAAAGAGATAAATTTTACCTAATTTTAACCCCTGTCCCTCACCCCAGCCCCACAATTTTAAAGTGTTTAAAGAATCATTGAAATTTAAAAAGAACTTTAAACATAATCATAATTTTTTCATGTAAATCATTGTAAATTTGAAATTTATAACGCACACATAATTATGTTGTTGATTCCGTCCATTCAATAAGAGATTACAACCTGTCGGACGACTTTCTGAGTCGTGACTAAACTGATTATTTGGTGCTATGGGTATAACCATAGTAATATACACCCGTGATGTATCACGGTCTATTTATAGTACTGGAACTGTAACAAGGAGACACGTACACCATGATACAAGTCTGGATAATATTACATATCTCTCCCTAGGAAATTTACATACTGCTAAATTTCATTTTCATATTTTCAACTGAATAAACATTTTTCATGCATAAAATCAAGTTTTTGTTGTTCAGTAATGTTATTTTCATCAACAATTTTGAATTTGAAAATAATAAAATAAACATGTTTTCCTGTTATTTTTGCCGTGGAAATTGACAGGAACAATTCAATTTTGCCGATATACATAAAGAAATAAGTGTTGTGAAAAACTCCTAATGAAATTGCCAAAGTAAGATTTGAAGTAAAATGAGTATAATTTTTTATCAGAAAACGTAGACTTTTTGTTTTGAGAACAATTAAAGCTGTTTCAATTGAAATCAGGCTCAATTAATATCCACTGATAAATATATCTTTGCCTACATATCAGAGTCACACCTCATTATCTCAAAACTGCGGAGACAAGGAAGTAAACAGGTCACAGAAATATCTGTCAAACTAATGGATTCAGGATTTCCAAGAAATATCTTTCAAAACTAATCAAGAGATTCAGTAATCCTGATAAATCTTTAACCCATTCACCCCTAAAGTCGCATTTGAACCTTACCAAATCAAAGACTGGGCAAATCCAGTTTAAATATGTAGGGTTGGATGAGCTAAACTAATGGAGAGATTCAAGATTTCTGAATTCGTGTTTATAATGAGGTTTGACAGAAATAGTGATGAGTCCATTATGGTTATCAGCGGTGGAAGTGATAAATTGAACATATGTGTTACGTAGGTATATCTCAGTGGTATGTCATATTGCCCTGACATTTATCACCTTATTACATGTTTTTTTTTTTTTACATGTTTCAACTTTATATTAGGTGACCACTGGACCCAGATGTTACCTTTTTATATAGTTGATCATTGGTTAAAGATGTTACCTTTGATATAGATGACCTCTGGGCCAAAATGTTAACTTTTGATATAGTTGACCACTGGTCAAAGATTAAACGTTTTGATGAAGGTGATTGACCACTAGGCGGATCGAGATGTTTCCTTTGGATACGATTGACCACTGGGTGTATCTGATTTTACCTGAAGTGCCCTCTCACTGGTCAAATGTGTTAATAGCTCATTCACCCCTAAAGACAAATTTGAACTCTTCCTATTCAATGGTTGGAATAGTTCATCATGGAAGTTCAGGGGTGAATTAGTTAACGTTGTACACAAGACATTTAAGCCTTCCTGTATGAATTCTTTGGAAACAAATCTAAACAAAAGCTATGGCTAGTGGTATCCTAAGGCAAGTTCTAGCAGGGTCTATGTTAGCAGGTGAAATCTGTGTAGACAGATTCTGCTGTTATAAAACTGTAAGTGTCGCCTTACTGTAGGGAGCTTACACACTATAGTGAATCAATAAAACTGTTTACTTGTCACCTTACTGTAGGGAGCTTACACACTATAGTGATTCAGTAAAACTGTGTACTTGTCACCTTCCTGTAGGGAGCTTACACACTATAGCGAATCAATAAAACTGTGTACTTGTCACCTTACTGTAGGGAGCTTACTCACTATAGCGAATCAATAAAACTGTATACTTGTCACCTTACTGTAGGGAGCTTACACACTATAGCGAATCAGTAAAACTGTGTACTTGTCACCTTACTTTAGGCAGCTTACACAATATAGCGAATCAATAAAACTGTGTACTTGTCACCTTACTGTAGTTAGCTTACACACGATAGCGAATCAGTAAAACTGTGTACTTGTCACCTTACTGTAGGCAGCTTACACAATATAGCAAATCAATAAAACTGTGTACTTGTCACCTTACTGTAGTTAGCTTACACACGATAGCGAATCAGTAAAACTGTGTACTTGTCACCTTACTTTAGGCAGCTTACACAATATAGCGAATCAATAAAACTGTGTACTTGTCACCTTACTGTAGGTAGCTTACACACGATAGCGAATCAGTAAAACTGTGTACTTGTCACCTTACTGTAGGCAGCTTACACAATATAGCGAATCAATAAAACTGTGTACTTGTCACCTTACTGTAGTTAGCTTACACACGATAGCGAATCAGTAAAACTGTGTACTTGTCACCTTACTGTAGGGAGCTTACACACGATAGTGAATCAATAAAACTGTGTACTTGTCACCTTACTGTAGGTAGCTTACACACGATAGCGAATCAGTAAAACTGTGTACTTGTCACCTTACTGTAGGGAGCTTACACA